CCTCCAACATTAAGTGTTGACATTTTTTGTCATCTCATCAATTTGCAGGGTGCAAAGAAAAAAAAGCTCTGGGTTGTTTGTTTGTTTTTAATTTCTCTTATTGGTGATTTCAAGCATATCTTTCATGTGGTTGTAAATACCTTGCAGTTTTTCTTTTGAGAACTGTTTGTTCATATTCTGTGACTTTTCCAGTTCTCCCAGCAGATTTTATCAAATAAGGAGATATTTTTTCTAGGTAATTTATGTTTTTTACTTTATTAAACACTGGGTTGTTGAGTTTCATTGTTTCTTAGTCTCTGTTATCTAGTCTGTTGATCTTATTCCTCTTCTTTTTTTAACCTGTACCAGATAGTTATGATGACTGCTGCTTGATAGTGTAGTTTGAGATCTGTAAGTGCTAGTCCCCCTTCATCCCTATTTCTTTTCATCATTTTCTTTGATATTCTAGTTTTGTTGAGGTTTTTTTTTTTTTTTTGGTTTTCCAAATGAATTTGTTATTATTTGATCAAATTCTATAAAGTATCCTCAGTAAGCAAACTACAAAAAGTATCCCCCTTTTAAATTTTATTGGTAAAGCATTAAAAGTATAAATTAACCTTAAAACTATTATCATTTTCATCATGTTGGCACCTCTGAGCCGTGAGCACTGAATATTCTTCTAGCTATTGAAGTTGTTCTTTTTTTCTTTAAGGAGCAATTTATAATTGAATCTATACAAGTCTTTTCTAGCTATATGGAATGGGGTTTCCCTTCTATTTTTGCTTCTTGGATTTTGTTATTGTTATATAGAAATGCTGTTAATTTTTGTAGTTTTTTTTGGTATCCCACATCTTTGCTAAAATAACTCAATATATTTGCTGATTCCTTAGGATTTTTCAAGCGTATCATAATATCACAAACAAAAAAGGATAGTTTCATCTCTTCTTTACCTACCATGATACCTTTAATTTCTTTCTCTTATTGTTGCTAGCATTTCCAGAGCTATATCTAATAATAGTGGAGAAAGTGAATACCCTTGCTTTGCTCCTATATTTATTGGAAAAGATTCTCGTGTATGATTGCTTGCTTTTGGTTTTAAATGAGAGCAGTTTATGATTTTTTTAAAAGTCATTCTGGGTCTATGCTTGGTAGATTTGTTAGCATAAAAGAGGGCTGTATTTTATCAAACCTTTTTCTGCATCTGTTGAGATCATCATGTGCTTTTAGATGTTTCGGTTGTTAATATGATTAATTATGCTGATTGTTTTCCTAACGTTGAACCATTTTTGCATCTCTGATATAAATCCCACTGGGTTATAATCATTGATTCCTTGGATAAATTGTATAGTTTGTTTGATAGGATTTTGTGAAATTTTTGATTCAATATTTATTAATGATATTGTTTATAGTTTTCCATCTGTGTTTTAGCTTTCCCTGGTTTAGATATTAGGATTATATTTGTCTCCTAAAATGATTACAGGGTAAGATTTTGAGAATAATTTGGGAAGCATTGGTACTAACTATTCTTTTTTATACTTTTTTTTAGTAATCCTTTAGTAATTTAGTAATTCTTATTTTTTTAATTTTTTTATATTTTTATTTTTAACATTCATTTAAAAATTTTTTTTGAGTTCCACATTCTCTCCCTCCAGCCCTTTTGCCCTCCACACATTGAGAAAGCAAGCAATAAGATATCAAACTGTAAAGTCATGCAAAAAAATATTTCTGTATTAGCCATATTGCAAAAAGGAGGAGAGAGGGCAAGAAAAATAAAGAAAGTGAAAAAATATGCTTCAGTCTGTACTCAGAGTTCATCAGTTCACTCTCTCTGGGGGTAAGTAGCATTTTTCATCATGAACCCTTTGGAATTGTTTTGGTTCACTGTATTGAGTAGAGTAGCTAAATCTTTCACAGTTGATTATTGTTACTATGTACAATGTTGTGCTGGTTCTGCTCAATTTACTTTGCATCAGTTCATATAAGGCTTCCCAGGTTTTTCTGAAACCATCCCTCTCATCATTTCTTTTAGCACAATATAGTTTTCCATCACAAACATATACCACAACTTTTTCAGTCATTCTCCAATTGATGGACATCTCCTCAATTTCCAAATTTTTGCCACCACAAAGAGTTGTTATATTTTTGTATATGTGTAGCTACTTTTCCTTTTTCTTTGATCTCAGGATACAGACCAAGTAGTTTGATAGCCTTTCCATTGGGCATAGTTTCAAATTGTTCTCAGAATGATCGGACCAGTTCACAACCTAGCAACAGTGCATTAGAGTCCTAATGTTTCCACATCCCTTCCAACATTGTCACTATCCTTTTCTGAGATGTTAGCTAATCTAATAGGTATGAGGTGATATCTCAGTGTTGTTTTAATTTGCATTTCTCTAATCAATAGTGACTTAGATAATTTTTTATATGACTTGATAGCTTTGATTTTTTTTTTCTTCTGAAAACTGCCTGTTCATATCCTTTGCTCATTTATCAATTGGGGAATGGCTCTTATTTTTATAAGTATGTCTCCATTCCTTATATTTATTTGAGAAATGAGGTCTTTATCAGAGAAACTTGCTGTAAATTTTTTCCCCAGTTAGGAAACTTTCCTTCTATTTTGGGCTGCATTAGTTTTGTTTATGTGAAAACTTTTTAATTTCATGTAATCAAAATTATCCATTTTACTTCCCATAATCTTCTCTATCTCTTTCTTGGCCATAAATTCTTCCGTTATCCATAGATCTAACAGGCACATTTTTTCCAGCTCCCCCAATTTACTCATGATATCATCCTTTATGTCTAAATCATGTACCCATTTTCATCTCATCTTATTATGTGAGATATTGGTCTATGCCTGGTTTCTGCCGACTGCTTTCTAGTTTGTTATGTGGAGGGGGTGGGGAGGTATTAGTAGCTAGGGAACATGTAGATGGTAGCATTTGAGCTGAGTCTTGACGGAAACTAGAGATTCCAAGAAGAGAAGATGAAGATCTTGGAGTACATTCCAGGCCTGGGGAGCAAGAAGTGCAAAGACACAAGAGATGGTAGATTCTTTGTCATGTGTGCTGAACAAGTAAGTGGGCTAGGTTGATGATAAGAGTGAAGGGACTATGGTAGAAGACCATATGGGTAAGAAGAGGCCAGGTTGTGAAGAGCTTTAAATGCCAAATAAAGAAATTTTGATTTGATCCTTTAGATCTTATTGAGCACAGGGATGACAGCAAACCAAAAATTACTTTGGCAGTTGTGTAGATGACGATTTCATGTTGGAAGAGGCCTTCATCAGAGAGATATCCAACAGGAGTTTAGTGCAATACAGACAGTTCTCGCTTTACATAATGTGCACTATGCAAATTTGATTTTATATAAATAATTCTACTGAAGGAGAGGTGCAGGGGAAAAGGGGCCATATAAAAGAGGGTGGGGGAAAACAGCTCAGGGGTTTCTATTTCCCAAGAGGAATTAAAGAGAAAGTTGGTTAAGAAAAAAAAAAGATGTAACAGAAACACGTATGAAGAGAGTTTGGAAAAAAGCGTGCCCACAATTGGTTCTCAATTTTTATGGATATAACAAAGATGAAACATTTGAACAAGTGAGTAACAGGATTGTAAAAGGAGCATAAGAATTAGAGCTATAAATGGATGAGAATGATGTGGAGGAGTTGCTTGAGTCTCATGGGGAAAAAGTGTTGAATGAAGATCTGATTGAGCTGCTAGCTGCAAAGACTGCAAAAGAAGGAGAAGTTTCCAAACCAACAAAACAATTGGTAGAAGCATTTCATCATTTGAGTGAATTTTTTTTTCTTTGTATTGAAAAGATAGATCCAAATACTTCAAGATTTTTAAAAGTTCAAAGACTAGTTAAGGATAATGTTGCTTGTTAGTCGGATGTGTGAGGAAAACAAGAGTCACTATCCAAACATTTCTCAGTAGCTTCATAAAAAACTTTGTGCAGCCAGCCATCAGTGATAAAGGCTAGGTGTAGTGAATGGGGAAGGGGCAACATAGTGTACATCTGTGCTAACTTTCCTGTACCGTACTATGTACACTTTATCATTAACTTTATCTTTAATTTCTTAATTCTGTTTGTCATGGTATAGTATTTAATATGTCCACATTTTAGTATATTTTATGACTTGTATAAAGGTATTATTTTATGTATGCCTTTGTTATATAGGCTAAATGAAGTGAGTAGGTAGAGGCAAATTCACATTACATAAAAATTGCGTTACATAGTGATCTGCAGAACAGTCAAATTATTTTAAAGCAAGAACTGTCAGTAGTCTACTGGAGAGATGTGATGCTTTCAGGTAGGATGCTTTCAGGTAGGATGCTTTCAGGTAGCTTGTTCAATAATTATCAAATGGATGACAAAGAAAGAAGATTGTATAGCTATTTCTAATTTTTTATTTTTAGTATTGAATCTTTATTCTTCTTTGTAAATATAAATGCCTTTCTTCATTATTATATTCTTATGCTCTTATACTTTTTATTACCTCATATGTAAATAGATAATTTACTCAAAATAGTCTTTTTGCAGGTTTCCATAAATTAAATATTTATGGTCACTGCTTCTTATTCAATAACCTTAGCTTATGTATTATAAATTGTCTTTGGATCATGGATCCATTTATATGGATTTGCAAAAAATGCATAGATTCTTAATGTGCATAATAGAGGACTCAATGGAAAATGTTTTCAATGATATTTCAGAAAGAATAGAGACAGGTACAGGACCTATGATTGGTATAGGTAAAGAAATTGGTAAAGGAATTGATATAGGAAAGCTCCCTATTCAAATGCAACTCAGCACCTTTTCTGCAATTTAAGGTCTTAGTTGCTTAGAACACTAAGAGGTTAAGTGTTTTGTCCAGGGTCATAGCCAATATATGTCTGAGATGAAATTTGAACCCAAGTCTTCCTGGGGTTCTATCCACTCTGCCTTACTTCTTCCCTCACCCCCACAAAGTACTCTTCTACTTTGCACCAGTCTCTTAAATTTTTTTCTTATTCTTCCCTAAGATTCAGATCAGCAGCGAAGAGAGAAACTTAAGAAAGAATTGGCACAGTGTGAAAAGGATTTAAAATTAGCTAGAATCGCTACACAAACAAGTAACAAATTTAGTTCCAGTCCACTTTCATCCATGGGTCTAAAGGTAAGGTAACATCTTTTAAAACTTTGTTTGAAAATGTTAGCTTTTATAGTAAACTACTAATATAATATTTGCCTTGTTTGTTCACAATAATGCTACATTTAAGCCAGGAATGTGTTTCAGGGAAGAGCCTGATACTAGCTTCAGGGATGGGCTATGGTATGGTTAGGAGGAAAGATGTTAGAACCAAGTAGTCACAAAGCCTAGCTAGACCAGGGTTAGCAACAAGATAGGAAGTTATTAGAGCTGAATAATTTTTAATCAGAGGTTATATAGTAGCAGAGTGATTGAGGTGAAAAGTCAGTCAGTCAGAAAGCTTAATAAATATTAAGTACTTATGTGCCAGGCACTGTGCTAAATTCTGAGGATATAAGAAAAAGCAACAACAATTCCTACCCTCAAGGTGGTTTATGGTCTAATAGAGAGAAAGTGTCCAGATCAAAAGGCTGGGATTAGGGGAATAGAAATCTAAAGAATGTACTGTCCCCTGGAGGAGGCAATATTCAGGCACTTTTACTGAGTGGGACTGGTAGTACAGACCGAATGAACCAAGGTTAGGATTGAAATGAAGAGGCAGGTGAACAGAAGTAAGATTGGGGTATGAAAAGGCATATATCATGACTCCCAAGGAGGCTTAGATTGCTTAGGAAGATTTATTACTAAGTGTGGCTTTCTAATGGAGTTAACAGGGAATTCCTTTGGTAACCCTGCGCTAGGAAAGCTCATCCATATCTTAAAAGGACCAGCTCTCAAGGGTGGATCCTATTTCCCATGGCTGACAGCTGTTTCTTCCTGAACCTAAGCTTTCAGGATCTGTCTCTAAAAATGTTGCTGTGTTCTTGGAGCAGCTGAAAACTAAGTTCAGGCCTGGATGGATACTTTTTTAGCCCCTGTACCCCTCTACACCACTCCCATGATTTTTGATGTCCAATTCTTCTTTCAGGGCCATTGTTCTAGCAGCTGGGCGTTTGATTGGATAGCTTGCTGTGCATTGGAAAGATAAAGAAACAGAAGAAAACTCCAAATTTAGTGAATAAATACTATGGGTTAAGAGAAGTCTTAGACAAGAAGTATAAGTAGACACTCAGAAAAAAGGAGCATGTATAAAATGACACCAAAAATGGCTAAAGGAATCTAAGAAAGTGACCAAAAAAAAAAAACTTGAGAAAAAATTAGAATAAATAATTTAGAACAGTAGAAAAAACTTTAATAGTGAGCTCAAAAAATGGAGTGGAGTATACAGAACTCAGTGATTCCATGAGACAACAAAAATAGTAGAAGTTAATTTAAAAAACATTTATTAAGTGCTTACTCTGTGTCAGGAACTGTGATAAGCAGGATACTGCCCTCAAGGAGCCATCATTCTAATGGGGGTTACAATATGCAAGCAATTATGTCCACACAAGGTATATATGTTGTAAATGGGAGATAATCCCAGAGGTGGAGGTACTTGGAGGGGTGAAGAAGTAAGGGAAGAGAAGGGTACTGGGAAACCTGTCTTGCATGTGGGTGTACTTTGAGCTGAGCATTGAAAGAAGCCAAGGAAGATGGAAGGTGAGGACAGACAGCCTTCCAGTCTTGGAAATGAGTGTCATGTGTGAAGAACAGTAAGGAGGTCAGTATAACTGGACCCTAGAGTCCATATGGAGGACTAAAGTGTTAGAAGTTTGGAAAGGTAGCAAGGGGCCAGGTCGTAAAGGGCTTTAGAAGCCAAGCAGAGGATTTTTCATTTGATCCTGGAGGCTATAAGGAACCACTGGGATTTATTGAGACAGGAGGTGATACTGTAAGACTTGTACTTTAGGAGGGTCAATTTGACATCTGAGGTGAGGATTAACTAGATGAGGGAACACTTGAGACACGGATTCCAACTAGCAGGCTTTTGTAAGAATCTAGGCCTGAGGTGATGAGAACCTGCTGGTGATGGTTGTGTGAGTGAAAAGAAGGGAACATGTACAAGAGATATTTTGACAGATAGTAATGACAAGACTTCACAATTGATTGGATATGGGGGAATGAGAGAGAGAGTGAGGAGTTAAGGATGACACCTATATTGTAAGCCTGGGTGACTGGAAGGATGGTGATGCCTTCTACAGTGAATAGGGAAGTTCAGAAGAGTGAAAGGCCTTGGGGTAAAGTTAATGGGTACTGTTTTAGATATGTTGAGTATGAGATGCCTTCAAAATATCCACTTTGAGAGATGTCCAAAAGGCAATTGATGATGCAAGACTGGAGCTCATGAGAGAGACTGTATATATAGGTCTGAGAGTATCTGCAGAGAGGTGATAATTAAACCTATGGAAGCTAATGAGATCACCAAATGAGATAGTATAGAGGGAGAAGAGGGCTCGGAACAGGGCCTCAGAGGACACCCATGTTAGTAAATGTGACCTGGATGAAGATCCGGAAAAGGAGACAGGTGAGAGTAGAACCATAAGAGATCAGTGGTTGAAAATCTAGAGGGGAAAGAGTATCCAGGAGAAGGGCATGATTAACAGTTTTGGAGGGTGCAGAGAGATAAAGAAATATGAGGATTGAGAAAGACTGTTAAATTTATCAATTAAGACAGCATTGGTTATGGAAATCAGATTGCAGAGTTTTAGAACTGAGTTGGAGGAAAGGAAATGTAGGCACTGATTTTAGATATCTTTCTCAAGTTCAGCTGCAAAGGAGAGGAGAGTTATAAGATGATGGCTAGCAGAGATGGTAGGAATGAAGTAAGGGTTTCTTTAAGAATGAGGAGACATGAGTGTATTTGTAGGCAGCATAGAAGCAACCTACATAGGAGCAGACAGGAAGAGATTGAAAATTAGAGTGGAGATAATGAAAGGGATAATCTGCTAGGGAAGATAGGAGAGGAGGTAGGATCAAATATACACATAGGAGGTATTTACCTTGTCAAAGAGAAGGGCCATACAGTGGTGAAGCCTTGATAATGGGAGAAGACACTGTGTAATGTGTGATGAGGAGGAAGGGAAAATTAGGAGCACGCCACACTCAGTGAATGGCCTCATTTTTTCATTGAAGTATGTGGCAAGAGAATGGGGGGAGCTGAGGAAAAGGTATAAAAGATTATGATAAAGGGAAAAACCAAATTAACAGTCATGACCATGAATATAAATGGGATGAACTCACCCATAAAATGCAGGAGGATAGCAGTGATTTAAAACAGAATCCAATTATATGTCATTTACAAGAATTAAACTTGACATATTCACACAGAGTTAAAATGAGGGGTTGGAGCAGAATTTATTTATTATTATTTATTATTATTATTATTATTAAGGGTTAATTCAGAAGCCCTCTAGTGGCAATTATGATCTCCAACAAGGCAATAGTAAAAATGACATCATTAAAAAGGCTAGTAGGCAAACCAGGTAATGTTTAAAGACCCCATAGATAATGAAAGAATATCACTACATTGAAACTTGACTGAAATGTAACTAAACTCTGCATGGCCTTTGACCCAGTGATACTTCTATAAGGCATAATGTATCTGAAAGATGTCAAACACATAGGGAGAAGAGCCATGTATACAAGAATATTTATAGCAGCAGAATAGATGCCCATCAATTAGTAATTGGCTAAATAAATTATGGCATATGAATGAAATGGAATATTATTGGATAATTGATATGATGAAAGGAATGGATTCAGAGAAACCTGGGAAGACTTTATGAATTAATGCAGAGTAAAATGAGCAGAACCAGAGGAATGTACAATGACAATAATAATAGAAAGGTGCTTTGAAAGACTTTAGATACCTGATCAGTGCAATGACCAGTCATGCTTCCAGAAGACTAATGATGAAGCATGCTTCCCACCTCTTAGCACAATTGATGGACTCAGAATGAAGCATGCATTTTCAGATACAGCTTATGTATGAATTTGTTTTGCTTGGTTAGACTTATTTATGACAAAGGAAGGCTTATTTTCAAGGGGATGTGAAAGAGTGAGTATATAGTAATAATGAAAAAAAAAAAAGAAGAGGATTTTCTGTTTGATCCTGGAGGCAATTAGGAGCAACTGAAGTTTATTGAGTAGGGAAATGACACAGTATGACCTGAACTTTAGAAAAATCACTTTGACAGCTAAATAGAGAAAGGACTTGAGTGGGGAGAGTCTTAAGGCAGGCAGACCAACCAGCCAACTATTGCAATAGTCTAGACATGAGGTTTTGAGGGCCTGTACCTGAGTAGTAACATTCAAAGAAGAGATGTAGAGGTATGAGGGAAGGGGATAGAGGAGAAATTTTATGAAGATAGAAACAAAGGGACTTCTCAGATGATTGGAATCTCTCAGGTTCCTTCTAATAATTCTGTTTTCTAATTCTTAACTAATTTTGTACTTGACTGTACTCCACTTTAGACATCCTGTCTACTCTCAGGGGTCCATTCCTAGCTCTCTGTTTTAGTTTCTGCTTTAGAGAGATGAAAATGTCATGTTCTGTGGGAAGTACATTTTTGTTGTTGTTCAATTATTTCAGTTGTGTCCAACTCATGTCTCTGTTTGGGGTTTTCTTGGCAAAAATACTAGAGTAGCTTGCCATTTCCTGAGATGAAGAACTGAGGCAAACAGTGTTAAGGGACTTACCTAGGGTTGCACAGTCAGTAAGTGTCTGAGGCTAGATTTGAACTCAGGAAGATGAGTCTTTCTGGCTTCAGGCCCAGCACTCTATCACTGCACCACCTAGCTGCCCATAGCTAGCTAGGTATTTTGGGGTCACTTAGTTTTCTTATCTCGATTGTTCATTGTGTCTATTTCAGACCGCTATTGTTTTTGAACCATAACATTCCAACCTTATTCTCATAAGACCATTCCACATCCTGCATTTTAAAGTTTGAGGTCATCCAACTAGAGCTTCATCAGCCTACCCTTACTACAGAAGTTTTATGTGTCTATTTGCTTTGCCAAAGCTAGTGCTTTCACCTGTGGTCTTGATCCCCTCTACTTTCACGTCTTTCAATATTTTGCTACGATAGTAATCCTGCCTCACATACAGC